AGGACGAATTTTTCGACTTCCGCGGCTCGATCGATCCCTTGTGCCCTGGCAGACTCTCGATATCCATTATTACGACGAAATAGGCGCGGGCGCACCTCGATGCCTCCCTTCTGACGCCGAGAAAAACGTTGAAAACACGTAGACGTCCACGTGTAATCGTTGCTCCGTAAGAGAGCAAATGGAAAATTAAAAATCCTAAATTTGAAAATCAACTATTTCGACCCTTAACGATTAGAGTGTACAAACTAATAAAACAATTCAAACACTCTTTTTGTGTCACTTTTCAATTTAATCTAATGAAAAATATCACCAATAAATAGATGAAAAATTAAATTTTTCTCAGATAAAAAGAAATGCGGAGGTGATCATTCAGTTAGAATGATTCGCAGACGTTTCGCGTTCGGAATCGATCGACTCGCGGGAGGGTTGCTCCCCCTCGTCGGTGGCGCAGTTTCTACGCGAAACGAATAATCGGCATCGGGCGGGCTTTTCGGTTCCGGTTTCTCGATAAATCGAAACTGTGCGAAGCCCGTCAACGTAGAGAGGACGAGAGAAAGAGGATCTGACCCGACCGCGTCGACGAGTGTTCGGTTACGAGACGACGATGCTTGCTTGTCCCAACCGAGTCCAACGATTCGCGCGTTATTCGCGAAACTGATAACCGACCGATAACCGGTCACAATTGCCACTTACTTGGGGGTTATCGTGCATCAGGCCAATCAACCCTGTCCGTTTGCTTGGCATGCAGTTCATCCAAGCTCATTCACATTTACACGGCCTTGAATAACGAAAATAACCGGAAAATAATAAAATTGTATCTTTTTGAGAGAAAAGAGCAAGACTGATGAATAAAATTGAAAGCAAATCTCAAAAGGCTCCACGTTCTATCCTTAATTAAAGGACGTCTGTGGCACGTGTCGAAGAATTATTGGCAATCGATGCGTTACGTAAAATGATGGGGAAGTAGTGATTTATATAGAATTTCCAAATTTCACAACCATAACGTACTATGAACTCCGTAACATTACGACAAGCTCGGTAACGTGTGTTATCACTTCACACGTTATAACGGGAAACAATATTATCAAGAAGCATATTATCAATTTACAATTAGTTTACAGTTCGATCACTGACCCAAACACGAACCAAAGAACAAAATACTCAACTCCCGTATTTGTTTCAATCACGAAAATTTGCCGAGCCCAAAATTAAGTTTCCTATTATTCATATTTTGCCTAAAAATTTCCTGTAACTAATGGGCGGAGCGCTTTAATCACCACGTTCAGAGGGGTCATTCGTTCTCCACTCGTATTGTACTTGACCGATTCGGTGGTGGTCCCCACCGCACCTTCGTCCGCGCTCCGCCCATGTTGTCCGGTAATTCCTAGATCCGCTGGTAAACGTGTCACCGTATTCGCGTAGGTCACGTAGGGATTGCTACCGTTTTCCCTTTGCCCTTGGCCCCGACACGATCAATCGTTGAAAAACGCAGCACGGCTGGAAAACGCGGGCCATCGTGAGCCGTGTGTACTCCGAGCGCGGTCAATTGCACTCTTGCTCACCGACTGCAATCTCCAACGATCTTCTCGTTCCCCCGGTTTCGCCGGGTAATTGTCCACGGCCACGTGTGAATCGCCTCAGTCGTCTCTCGTAACGACGTAATACAACGTAACACCGCGCGTAAGCGGTCGCGTGGGCGTTGACACTTGTTTTGGTAGCCTCCGCCGCGAGACTCGCGCTCGTGTGTTATACTCGTGCGACAAACACGAGAGATTATGCGAGAAGGAAATACCGAAATGATAATGAAATAATCAGAAATTGATTTCTTCAGAAATTCTATTGTAACCTTGGCATGAAAAAGCGACATTGCAGCCAGTTCGCAGTTAACCGGTTCGCAGTCTCGAAGGGATGTTTCTCCAAAGGAGCGTGCGTATCGATCCAATCGCGAGGAAGCCCGGCAAGTGGCGAACGTTTTGAAGGGTCGACCGATGTCGGGGGTCGAGGGGTGACCCGTGCCAATTGCAGACCCTACGACATCGCGATTTCATCTCGATTCGACGGAATCGTCAACTTTTAGCCCCGTATACCTCCCGTGGTCCCGTAAACGTTCGTTCGAGGTGAAAGGGGGTGGAATGTTTGCCTGGTCGGGAAACGGGTCAAAACAGCGGTAAAAGACGATAAAAATTGGGGCATCGCAGCACGGATGGCCTCTCGACGCCAGGTGTACGATGAACCCGGAGGGTCGCCTTCTCTTTCGCGAACAGAAAGACATTGGAGGGGTGAGCTTTCCCTCGGGATAAAGAGGGTGTTAAGATCTGCGGGGTATGAGTTGTTGTGACGGCGAACCTACACTACAGTTCAAAAGTATTTCATCATACATCTGATGGAACAAACACTTGTTTCTACTAATTAAAAGAATGTAATTAGATCCTAAATCCTCTATTCAGCGGCAATTTGATAGAAATATCTTTTACACCATTGTCTCTTTCCCCAAGTACACGTGTAAGTAATCAAATACTTTTGAAGGATAGTGTATGTACTTGGAAGCCTTCGACTCGTGCCGATGCTCATCTATCATCCCGGTTTCTCTTCCTGCTTTTTTCTTTCCTCCTTCACCCCCTGCGCCTCTTACGCCCACCCTTCCGTGATTCGTAGCGTCCGAAACACGCTCGCGGGGATCGAGTTCCACGGGGAATCGCCGAGGAATTTCTCGGCAGGAACTGTGTTACAGAACTCGTAATTCCTTCTTTTGCCTTATTCCCCGTCGATGAAACCTTCTGTTCTCGACAACTTTTTCTTCGAACCGTTTACCGATTAAACGAAACTTTATTTATATAATTACTAAACATAAGAGCGGTTAATTTTCAAATTGAATAATCTTGCAACTATGTAGATAAGCGAGATGTCAGAGGTGAAGAGTCATTGTTCTCGTTGCAACTTCGTTTTATTCATAATTATGAATGTCCGAGGTCAGACGTCGCATCTTGGTTTTAATAAGGCGTAAAGCGAAAAGAAGTTTAACATAATCGGCCGTCAGGATCGTAATAGGACGGGCCGGTCGAGGTGAGAGACGATATTGTTGGCAGGGTCGCTAGTGACCGATCGACTTCGTGGATCGCATATTATTTGCACTCGACAGGCTATCATCGAGCGGAACAACAATTTTCTCGTTTAATCGCGGCTCATCACGAGATGCGGTCTGCCTACGCACGGCTGTCCGTGAAAGTCACGATAATAGCTGTCGGTGACTCACTTAAGGTCAGCTCGGAAAGTGGCACGATAAAAGTCGAGAAAACGACTTGATGAAAAACCCTCCTTACCCAAAATCGTCTTTACGAAATCTAACCGAAGGTGTTACGCGTTTCCTCGGATACTGTCGAAAACACGAGACACGCGTTCGCCTGCGATCCAAGACGTCTTCCAGATAAACGCGTTCCATCTAAATACGTTCTTATCAGCCCGGACGGCCGGCTGTCCGATTCCCTGTCAACATCGATCTGCATTCTTCCCTTATCACAGCTTTCTCTCTTTCTCTCTCCGCCGCTTTTTCGATAAAAAAAAGAAGCAGAAGAAGAGAAAAGAGGAAAATCCGAGGTAGAAGGAAGATGAAAGAAGAGAGTTCTAGAGAAGATACGATGAACGATCGATTCAGCGACATCATATTAACAACCCTCTTCCTGGATATTGACTTAAATTGTAAAATTATAATATTCAGCATCTTCTCGGAAGAAAATATCGACAGGGAAATATGTTTATGAGCGGAGAAACTAATCGATTCGTTTTAATTGTCAGAAACGAGAGTTTATCACGGTTGTAAGAGGAGAAGAGGGAGAGGGAAAAGAAAAAAGAGAGGTGTCCCGGGACGGTATCGTCGGCAAACAACACGTTTGTTTCTAAACGAGCCGGGAGTTCGATACGCGATTATTATGACCCGCGACGAGCCTTGAACTTGCCCTACGATAAGCGAGCTGCTTACCAGCTACCGCCGTCAAACGTGCCTGTTTATTGCATGCACAGAGCTCTTGCACACCGCACACACTTGCCTTCGCGACTTTGCCATTAAATTGACTCGCGTCATCGTACAATGACCCCGTGCATTCGCGTTTTCGAAACGAGCTCCTCGACCGACGTCGACCTCGCTCGATCGCCAAAGCTATCGTAGGACCGAGTTAACATTTCAAGAACGCTACACTTAAGTTTACCTTCATTTTTTTTACCCTGTTATCGATGCAAATTTTATTTTGTAAACTTTCTGCAGCATCAATTTGATAAAAAATTGTTACTATGCCACTATCGTAATCAATGCTAATTACGGTACTAATTACATCACCCTCCACAAATAAAATATTCAATAGAAACACTGATATCCGTTCACCCCTTATATCCAACATTTTCTTTATCAAATTTCCTGGAAGTATGATCGATAAATGAAAACGTAGGGTACAATCAATCCTTAAAACAAAAGGAAACGAAGACTAATTTTTCTATAGTAGATTTGCGTACAGTTCGTATCCGTTACTAGGAAAAGCAAGCCGAGTAACCGAACATCCCAGCCAGCCAGTCAACCCACCAACCCCCTATTCAATGTCGCTACAATAATAAACCACCTCGGTTATCTGTATTTCTGTATTTCCCTCTGGGATTCTCGGCACATTCAGGCATCGGGGCCAAGTTCAGCCTGTATCTATATATACGCGCCATTCTACACGCGGCCCGGCCGTATCGGTGTTTATCCTACCCTACCAGCCTGCTCTATCCACCACCCTTCGCCCTTCCCTTTTCGCGCGTGTACTCTGATGCACCTGGATTTTCACGAATTTGGACCAACGTTACGTGACCTGTCGCTCGTGCGACGAATCCGTTTTCCCGCCTTTTTCACGAGATTTCCTTTTCGCTAAAAATTACTTCAGTTACGCAATGATTAATCGAAAGGATGCTGACCTTTTCTATTTCTCTATTTTTGCAAGCTAACGATAAAGATAAAAATCGTGGACACTTACCTTTTTCTCGGTGAGTTTCTCGCATCGCCTCATCTTGCAGATCTGGTGGCTCTTGTCGTTTCGGCACGGCGCGCAGTCCCCGCAGTTGTCCTTCCGTTGGCAGCCGATGCACTCGCCGCACCTTTTGCGCTTTTTCTTGGCCGGCTTGTCGCTGAGGCTACTGTCGCCGTCGGCGTCAGCTATGCCGCCGCCCAGGTGATGAGGTCCCCTGTTCGCGGTGGACGAGACTGCGGCTACCTGGCCGGAACTCTCGACGTTGCCAGCCCCGGCGCTGTCCTCGGACTCCATCGAGCCGGCACGTATTTTTCTGCGCTCCTTCTTCCTGCCGTCGATGCCGATCGGCCTGGAGGTAGGCGACGAGTCTAGCACCGTGGACATAGGGTTTTGGAAGTTAGCGTGATGCAATTGCGGGTATTCTGGCTTGACCACAGTCAGCACCGTGTGGTGCGGGTGACCAGGAGGCGGTGGTGGAAATGCTTGTACGGGACTGGAGCCTAACAATTGTATATGCCTCTCGTCTAGTAGTTGCTGTTGAAGGGCAGGCACCTCTCTGGCTTGTACCGGCGCCGGCACCAACGGATATCCCACGCTGCCTCTGTGAGGATGGGGCGCTGGAAGCGGTGTACCGAGGGTATGGAAACTCGGCAGACCGACAGCGGAGGTAACCGGTGGAGAGTGCGATATCGAGGCTGGTGACAATGGGGTGAGCGCGGTCAATTGGGGCTCGGCTTCGCTCGGTGCCGTGAATTGACTCGCGAAGCTTGGCAGACCTTCGCCAGGCGGTCCACCTCCACCGGCTGCGTTCTTCGACTCCCAAGGCCTGTACTGGCTTGCGAGCACAACCTCGCCACGAGAATCGATCAATCGACCGGTCAGTCCCTCGTAGTAGTCCCAGGAGGACGTCAGACCCAGTCCAACGTCCTGGGGATGAAGGGTAGTCAGTGTCGTCGAGCTGTCCATCGCGTTGTCCCCGGCAAAGCTGCTGAACGGTGGTAGGTGACGCGCCGGATCACCTGGACCGACCGAGCTCGGCGAGGTCGCTACCGCCGCCGGAGGGCTACCTGCTACCCTCTCGGTGGCGACGACCTCCTTCGTGACCTCGGCGCTCATCTTCCTCGCCACGTCATCTCGACTCGAGCCCCCTGCTCGCAGGAGGTCGCGTTACCCTTCTCGATTCTTTTTTCTTATGTGTCTTCTGGATAAACGGATCGACGGTTAACGACGAATCTTGTAACCTTCCAACCTTCCACCACTTCCTCTTCGTCCGTTGCCACTTCCACCTTCCACTTGCACTGCCACTTCTCTTCGTTTTCTACGATCGTGACTGGATACTCGTTATCGGGATTATCCGCGCTGCCCGACGCGTGCTGTTCGACACCCTGACATCTGGCAGAACGAGACGAGTCCTTCTTGCCTTCCAAACGTTTTCTTCCTTTCAAGTAAATGCCTTGATGCAGAAACGCGTCCGAATTCTTCTTTCGTTTCGTTCCGCTTTCGGTTTCTCTCCTCTTCCTTCGATTTGTACGTGTGTGTATAGCTGTAGGTGTACGATTGTGTGATTGTTTATTTTATCTCAATTTTTGTCTTCTTTCGAAATTTAGAGCTTCGTTCCTCTTTCGCTCTCACTCTCTCTCGTTCATCTTCTCACTTTCACGTGCTTTTTTACTTGCTCTCTCTCTCTCTCTCTCTTTCTCTCTCTCTCGTTCTCGCACACTGGCTTTTCTACCTCTCTCTATAACTCTATTTCTGTCGTTTGTACTCAACAGGTTTAGGCTACGAACTGAAGTAGATCGGTTTCTCTGGGAGTAATTATATGCGAGTCCCCTTTTCTGGATATATAGGGCGGCCTGCGTTCTCCGTCTGTCTTTCGCTTTGGATGGGACTCCTTCCTTAATTAGATACTCGCTCGCGTTCTCTCGTTCTCTCGCTCTCTCACTTTCTTTCTGCCTCTCTCTCTCTCTGTAGTAGGTGCGTCCGTTTGTTTAAAAAAATGAAAACTTTACTCTTACTTTACTTTATTACTCGCTTATTACATAAAACTTCCTTATAGCTTAGAAAACTTTGTCGGTTCGGCTATTCCCACTTAATTAATCTGTTCGCGAAGAGATTGGGCGGGCTTGCTCGCTCGCTCGCTTCCTCGCTGGTTACCAAGTGTATATCGTTAGCTTGCTGAGTGATTAGTAGAAAAAAGAAATGGTAGATTCTTTGGTTTACGGTTTTTTTTTTATCCTTCTTTTTCCTTTTCTTCGCGCAATATTTTTTATACTCTTCTTCCCTTTTTGTCTTCGTGTCTCCCTTCCTACTTTTTGTTATTATAATCGTCTTACTTTGTTTACCTTTCCTTTGATTTGGCACTGGCGGACTTTATCTTTTTTTTCTTCTTATTTTTCTTTTTGTTTCAGATATACTTTGTACACTAATTAGATTACTATAGCTCTTAATGTTTTGTCTTCCTCTGAACCTAAGCTCTTTCGAATATTTTTCTTCCTCTTTTTCTTGTTTTTTATGCTTTTTTCTTTTTTTCTTTTTTATCTTTACGTCGATATAAACACACTAATTACTTCTTTCGCGCTTCGTAAGAAAATAGAAATCACTTGAGGTTAATGTGGCTTGTTAGAAGGCGATTGATTTGTACGATCTGGAACAGAAAAACCACATTTTTATGTTAGACATGTACGATATATTAATGAAATATAATTCTTATCTTAAAGTCATATAATCGCACTATCGTACTCTTATCTAAAATCTCTTATTTAAATCCAATTTGCACCCCCTCTGAAACATCAACATAATATTTGCACCGAGTTTTTAAGGTTTTCAAATCAAGTAAAAAGAATTTTAATAAATCATAAAGATCTGTATGGGATCAAAGAAGAGTAGTCGCGGGTTAGAGAGAAGAAAAAAAAAAAGAAAAGCATCCCCAGGTAGAAAAGGCCGATGACGAGGCTCGTTCAGTCCTCCCCTTTCACCGTGGTCACGTGAGGCGATCGTAAGCTAGAACGTGACACGCGACTACGTGGGAACGTGTCATAGACGTTACCATAACGTGACCATCGCTAAAGCCAAGGTTACTATTACGTTCGGCGTGTCTGCACACCTACTCGCTCGCTTTGATATCCGCGAATGTTATACTCTAGTCCCCGGACGGTTCATTCACGTTGCTTAGACCTATGACGATGGCTACGAGCTTTTCGCGTTTCTCCTTTCATCGTTCGCTAACTCGTTTTAACGCCTTCGCAGTCGCCGTTTTCTACACTTCCATTTATAAAACCAAGGGATACTTATTGCTTTCTGCTTTACTTTTAATATATTTCAAATTATAATATATACATGAAAATTTTTATTTTGTTATCAATGTTTTTCCCTATGGAATCTTAGCGTCCAAGAAAATTCTTAAAATTTTCCAATGATTAATTAATCAGCCGTTTGAAACACCTTTTAATCCATCAGATTGCGAAATTCTGTTTATTCGAAAGAGGTTCCAAGCCATCGCCGAAAAGCATAGCGACGTTGGTCCTCCGTGAGATATCGACCGCCATTTAACCTCCCTCTCATCCCTTCATGGTCTCTTTCCCGCTGGTTGGCGATGATGGTACATAGTACTACACGGTATACTCTGAACTCCATCATGTAACACGTAGATTTGCACACGCGTGTTGGCCACACAGAGATGCACGCTGACAGCAGCTTTTGCATCGCTGGTGGATGCACATAATGGCTGGTGTACATAGAGAGAACGATAATTCTCTTTCTCTCTCTTGGCCGCTTTTCCAACGACCCGCCGCAAAACTCTCTCTCTAATAGCTTTACAGCTGTGGCCGTCGGGAGCTTTCGCTATCGTTGAAAACTTGCACTGTCGTTCGTCGTGCACTTTCGCTTGCCACGTGGCGAATCAACCCTTTCGGGCTACCGATGACCCGCTCGAATACGCACCATGGAATTTAATCAATTACTTTCTTCTTATTATTATATTCATACCACTGATACAGGATTAATGGTACTATGGGCTTAAAGATGTTAAGAACGTGTTGAGGAGTAACTCAATATTTGGTAAAATTATTGCTCATGACGGTCATTGATGATCCCCGCATAGGTCATTCAACTTAATAAGTATTACAAATGTATAATACGAAAGAAACGCTTTCAACAATGATGGTTGATAAAGTTATGTTGTCGTTATTAATCTTTCAACAGAAAAACTCTTGTGGTAAATCCTACCTTATGCACGCAAAGATTCTCTTTGCATCAAGTTGTCAAAAGGAAGTCTGTACTAAAAGTAGATAAATTCTACAAAACTTTCCACTCGACAGGGGACAAATACAAATTGTACCAGTTGGATCGAATGCTCCTGAACGAGGCTCCAGCGCTTCAAAAATAACAACACTCGGAGAGAAAGAAGAAAAAGACTTAGCCAAGAGAATTCTGAAACGAACTACAAGACACATCCTCCACGATTCTCTGAATGTCGTACATCGAAACGCGTTGAAAATCAATACCAAAAAGAATCCGATCGGATGCTCGAATCCGTCGATAAACATCGAGGATTCTCATAGGAAAAGCACGAAAGCGGCGTAAATTCAGCTTCCAATTGGAACTCAGGAGATTTTAGCCGATGACGAAACATCTGCACAAGGAGACCACAGGCGATTGAACTTTCCTGGCTATCCATAAATCTAGTCTAGACTGAATACCGCGAACTTTAATCTTTAAAGGTCGCGAAACTCGCTTCGTTGCTCTCTGATAGCGTGTACCGAGTTCGAGGCTCGATCGCGTTTCTTTCGAGAGTTGGATGGATATCGGTATCCAACCATCGTGAAAAGATGCTCCAAGGAAACTGGCAATTCGTAACGCGGCCATACGTTCGATCTGACCGTATATAAATTGTTCGACCAGCTTGGAAACGGGGCTCCAGTCGATCCAACAACTCGTATCGGCATCCGTCTCGCGCAGAGCTGACGAGAAACTTTTCTACTTTTTCGAGATCTTTTATCGCTCCGTGCATCGTTACGGCACAGATATACATTGAACTAGGTATTTTTGCTCTAGGTAATCTTCAAATTTAAGTTTTCATCAGAATTGTATTCAATGCTACTTTATTCTTGAATTATTTTCAAAGTCAAGCGAACGTAGAACTAGCCGCCGACGTATCAGCTAGAGGAATCTAATAAACGTTCTTTCGAAACCTCGCTTACAAATCGAATCGAACTCTTTCGAAATTCAGTTGCAAGTCGAATCGAAACTCCTTCGAGTTAGAATTTGATTTCCAGACCAACCAGCATATTTTAATATTAATCTCTACTGGATCCGAAAATTGTCTGTGAACTCTATACTGTGTAGGCTCTTATAAATTCCTAAATGTTCTTCAACCATGAAGACTTGTAACTTCTAAAGTATTATTTAAAAAAAATATTAAAAAATGATAAAAACAACGGGTGTTTTGGAGTGAAAATTGCTTTGAATGGAAGGATCGATAGCCGCGCGTAGCGGAAGAGACAGAACGGAAGACGAAACGATGACGAGACGAAAATTTTGGAAAGGCTAGAAGTGTGCGTCGAGACGCGTCGCGTCGGAAAGAGGAGAACAGCTGGCGCCTGGTCGAGTTGCACTTTCGTCGAATCGACCGTAGGCCCGCTTTGTAAGCGCGTACAAAAATTCAATAGCGCGCGCTGCTCGACGTCGCGAGCGTAGCGACACCGAGCGATATATCCCGTCGTCGGCACGCAGGACGCGGCTTCCCAGAAGCGTGTACAAACCAGCTGGCCAACAGAAAGAGATCGGAGATTCCGCGCGCTTGGAATTAATATTAGACGGCGACGAGTGCGCGCCATCGAAAAAACCAAGCTAACGAAACCTGCGTGTGCTCGTTGCCCTTTGTGCCGAGTGGAATATTCGAGAACTTCTCGCGATATACGCGACCGATTTCCATGATCGAAGTCTCGGCCGATTCTACATCGAAAAATGCATCAAACATGTAGAATGTAATTCTTTGATGTTCAGCTACCATGTGGAGAAAACCGGCTCCGAAGTAGACCGATTCAAGAAACGGAGTAGATGAAATATTCTTGAATTGTGAATGGTATACATTGTTGCCGAGCAAAGATCGAAGTCTCAGATGATTCTACAGCGACGAATGTATGAAAAATGTAGAATACAATCTTTCAGTAAACAGCTTCCATTTTAAGAAAAATATTTTGAAGTAAAGTGCGACCACTGCAACGGTAGGCCATGCTGCATTGAAAAGTGCATCAGAAACGAATGCACCGCTCCGAAACGAATAGGTACAAAGTAGGCTAACATACCCACTGTATTAAAACATCATGAAGCTATTTACAAAATATTCAGTGAGATTATATAAGATAATCACAAACATGTAAACATCGTGTCCGATTAAAATAACAATTGTAATATCATACTAAATACGAGTGTAGGTTTGAAATCAAATCAGACCGAAGACACCTTATTCCTTTTTAACCCTTAAGTGGCGGTGGTCAGGTCACTTGTAATCCAAACTGAAAATTCTTCTCCAAATCCACAAATTTCCCAATTTTCTGATAAATGTAAAAAAATTGTTCACATTGCACCCCCTATATTTAGCGAAGAATAATTGCTCGTCTGGTCACTTCTGTGTTTCCTTTTTATGAGAAACGACGTCGCGGAATTCTGCGCGTCTCGTTTCGTTATTATCGTGAGCCCGTATCGAGCAGTATACACTGGGCTGGCTCGAACTCCTTTGTTTCACTCGGGTTTAGCGTCGCGCCGCGTTATCGTGACGCGGGCGAATTTCGTGTCGACGCTTTTGCACGCGGTTTCGCGGTAACCGGCCAGCCGACCGACCGTTCGTTCCTCGTGGCCCTTTGCTCCCTTTCCAATACGCGACTACCTTGAACAGAAGCAGTCTTGGGAATTGGCGTAAACCGGGTACACGAAAAGGCTATCCCCGATACAAAACCGTTTAGTGTTCGACAAAGTTAGGAGGGCATTCTCGTATTTCGATTTTGCATTTCTCTCATACTTTTATTTATAAAATAAACCCCTCATTTTTGGCGGGAAAATCTCGGGATATCCTGTTTAAATTAATATAGAGGACTGGTACACTGGAAGGAAGGTATACCAGCCGCTCCAAAACTCCTGAATTCGGCCATCGTCCGTCACGGAAGCGGACGCGAGGGAACCGGTGAAAAATCGGCACCATTCGGCAGGGGGTAATTATTATTCGGTCCCAGTACAGCTTATCTTCGTTTCCGCAGGCATAAATCCGCGATAAGGTCTGTTTTTCACGACGGTGCAGGCTGCGCGCTAATTCCGGCATTACAGCGAAGCAAAAATGGCGGTGCCGGCGCTGGTCGGCCTGCACCCCGTTCGCTAGCCCGAAAAAAGGAAACGCGAAGAAAAAAAGAGCTCTCCTCGCGGCGGCTCCGAGCAAAAAAGCTCCGGGTACACTTTCGCCGACCTCGTGGTGGCGAGCGCGCGCACCCGCGCCCGCTCGACTCTCGCGACAAAGGCTGCTTGATTCAAGGTCCCACGCACACGCACACACCAATAGATCCGTACACATGCGCTCACGAATGCACGCGTTCGTCCGAGCGCATGCCGCCAACCGCGTGTCGACCCGACGCGGTGCCCTGCCACTAGAAACTTGGAGTACTACTACCTCGAAGATGAACCACCTTGGAATTCGCAAAAATAGATGATGATTTAGTCGATTGTTGAATTGGGAATTCGAGTTAAATTTTAGTTATGGGAGCGAGGAGTTGCGTCTCCGAACCGACTAGACTGAAGCTCTACTACTCCGAACCGATGCGACGAGACCAAAGCATTACTCCAAACCTATGAGACTGAAAGTATTCGATTCGAATGGCTAAATATCAACAAAGTTGAATCTACGAGGCCATACATCGACAAACCCAATTTGCAGAGAATTTATAGCCACAGGTCGATTGGGTTGGAGCATAAATCCTGGGCCCAGGTTGAACATTAACGTCGCGCAAAGTCTCGATAACGTTCGCGCGGTAAGATCGAACTTGGGGGAAGTTTATCTGGATCTGTAGGACGATAAATATTGTCTGTATGCGAGTAGGTCGTGGGCATCGACGTAGACTCGACTGCAAACGAAGGAATTGGAAAAGAAGAGCTACGATACGGTGGATAACTCAGTATAGAAAAGAGGATTGTCGAAGAAAAAATCGGGCATCGTGAAACAGTATTTACTCCCGCGTTAAGTAGCAATAAATAGCGAAGAAAGAGACCGTGATAACTGACGTCATTCACTTACTCGAGTCATAACAATACTGTTTTTGTAGCAGCGATTACTAGCATCGTCTGGAATATGTATATAACTTATTCATCCGCTGAAAGCTGCAGCTATGCATACTACGCCATTGATAACCTCTCTTTGATGCGAGTGTATTCGTTGTGCCGAGAGGTGCACCGTTACATGCAGCACGCACCATTGCACCACCGATTATCGATCCATGCGATTCGTCAACAGTGGGCCGTAGGTTCGCGTCGAAGGGTACCGTTTCGACCCTAAATTTTTCTTCCCTCCGGTTGTCGCTTCACCGCGATACCGCGCGGTCAATAGAGGCGGAACGGGCGAAAATGCGCGGGTATCGTCGCGAAGGTGGACATGGTTCCCAGGAACGACCGGGTCACTTGTTGCTGGCGTGCACCGGCGTCGAAATCGCTTGGACGGGACGCGTTCGGGCGCTTTTACGGCACTGGCTACGGTGTTCGGCAGCGGCACTGATTCGCGAGCGCCCGCGTGTGTACGTGGAACAAGCAAACGTGCGCTCGTACGCGAGTATGCACGGCGTCGTAAACGTCGTAAAACGGATCACAGCTGGTGTTGTACCAACGTGTACCAACACTGGGACTCGTATAATGCACATGCACGCACGTGCGCGAGTACCGACCAACACGTACGCGCGCATGCGTCCGTGCACTTTCACGCTATATACCGCAAAGTGTACGCCGTGAGGACGTAACTCGGCTCGCGCGTACCGGTCGATCACACAGGAACGGCATGCTACGAAACGGAATAAAGAGTGCACGAGTACGAGTACGAGTACACGAGTATGAGCACGGGGGAACGAGGGCAGCGGCGACGTTCACGAAGAGACACGTATCGAAAACCGGCGCGTCGCGACGGCCAGCGGTGCTAGCCATCCTCGTGTAGAGAGGTGCGTAACGGTCCGTCGAGGTGCAGGCCGTCGTGGTGGGGGTTACGGGGGGCGGTCGCACTGTTAAACCCACCCACACAAGCACATGATATCGGAAATGATATAAAATTGCGTCGAGCGCGCCGCTGATATTTAAATTGGTTCGCTAAACCACGGATTAATGCGCGCAACGACGTCCGACAGCCCACGCAGAGGAGCGGGCATCGAAAAAAGGGCGCATCAGAAAGAGAAAAAAATAAATGTACACGCGTGCAGCCCGGCCCAATCGGAGCGGATCGTTGCTAACGTGAGCGTCGATACCTGTTTCTACGTTGGACAGGTGTTTGCCACGGCCAGTACGGCTGCGAGCGCCGTATATTTTCTTTCTTTATCAACGTCGCTCAAAACTCTGTACATCTACTTTGCCTTTTCTCTCAACTTCCTGTGTACAATCACGTGAAAATATCCTCGTAGACTTTGCCAAACGCGTCGAACTTTCTTACAACGTTATCGCGCGAATTGCGAAATCAAACTAGCCGGGTTTGGGCGGGAATCAAAGTACAACCGCGATCTAATACAGTCTCACCGCGGAACCAAGAAAACGTAAGAGAAACGAAATAGATTACCGGTTCTAATAGAGATTCCGTATCGTGAACCGGCTAATAATACACTTATCAATGGCTGTGCAAGAAAAATACCCGATAAAAGAGTTCTCTATTTTGTACGACCAACGAGCAAAACAACCGATCGTTTCTCGAACGTTCGGCCGCGAATTAAGGCTGGCGTTTCACAATGATCGCCTAGGAGTTTGTTGGAAACGATTCGCGGCCAACTTCGCTGGCAACCCTTTGCCGGCCAACAAGCGTACGATTCCGACAGCCTATGAACGAAGGAAGGGGAATGCCGGACTGCTGGAGGAAAGGAGAAAGAAATATCGTCTAGAAAGAGGAGAGAGAGAGAAAAAGAAAGAAATCCGTGGAACGGGCAAAAGGGATACTCTGTGCGTGCCCGTAAATCTCTTGGCGCCCGTTGTTCTCGCGGTCCACGACGTTAGTTCCTTGTCCATTCCGATCCGTTCCGCCGTTCCGTGAAGCGAGTAGGCCGAAATTCGCCCCCTCCCCTTCCCTCCGCGAACCCCTCGCTCTCACTCCCCTGTAGCGCGGCTCGCCGACACAAAAAAGAAGGAACACCCACAGGAAAGGGAACCGAGGAAAAAAGGACGAAGACAGGAATAGAATGAGAGGGAAAGAGAGAGAAAGAAGAATTGATCGTATTCGCGACGGCGAAACGGAGCTTCGGCTACTTTGCATGTTTCTGTCGTTGGAAACGCGGCGTTAATTTCCATTTATCCCCGATTATTCGTCCAAGGAGTACGGATCGAAAAAAGCATAACTCGTAATTTCGACGAACGGTTATCGTTGTAACGATATGTAACACACGGATCGTAGAAATCGGCCGTTCCTTCCAGCACCGGCTAATTCGGCGAGCCGTTAAATCGACCCTTAACGACACCGAAGTTGATCGCGTGTGTACTCGACGATTATTATCACATAAACTGCAAATTGCACGTTATTACCGGGTCGCGTTTTTCTCTGTACCCATACGCGTCTATACATCAGGGTCAAATTGTTCGTGGTTTATCCTCGCGATGGTACTCGAAGCCGTGGCCACACGATATCCCACTTCCGATGACACTGGTAGTTAGAGCGACGTTGTTGATGAATTTCGACGGGGAACGATCGAAATTTCTCCGTAGCGTGTGTCGCGCCACGCGGCTATCGATGCACCTCTACTCCAAATTTCGAAACACACGCATGTATGACGGGAACACATGTAGGTGGAGCGCGATCGTGACACGCAATTTGAACGTTTGAAAATCGTGTTTCGTTTCTTTTTTTCCTTTCCGTTACTTTGCGTATACTCGTTCACCACAGACGACCGACACCAAAAACTCTACACCTTTGACGAACGCCACACCGTATAGTCGATAATGCTGTTTACCAAAGCGCCGTTTGTTCTCGGCCAGGCTTGGTTAGGTTCACGCGCAATCGAGGCGAAAAACAAAATAAAAAGGATCTTTTACGTACATAGATTGTACGGGGTGTACGTATGCATATCCCTGCGCGCATTATATAGAAGAGAATGAAGTGTTAAGAACCTGTTTCCCATACACTACGCGTGCTATCGACGAAGCGTTTGAGCCGAGCCTCGAAAACACCGGGAATCTCGAAGGGATGCACTTTGGCCCGTCACTCGTCTCACGACGACACAACGCGTTTTTGTCTAACGCACCGCGCGAGACTCGTAAAACATTCGTAGCACGATGCGTGCACGCCGTGCTCGAGGACACTACCGTGCATCGCCGCCGGCTAGCACAGGAGGCGTTGACGGCAATGGTAGTGGTGGCAGCGGTGGTAGTGGTGCTGCTGGTGGTGGTGGCGGTCGCGACGGTGGTGGTGGTGGTGGATGAGATGGTGGTGGCGGTGGTGGTGGTGGTGGTGGTGGTGCTGACGGTGGCGATGGTGATGGTGGTGGTGAGATTGTGGTAGAGGTGGTGCTGATGGCGATGGCGGTGGTGACGATCGGCGGACGTAGCAAAGAGACCAGGACGACGGAAACGTGTCGCGGGTGCGAACTTCCGCATGGTCGTTTTCAGGGAGAAGGGGATTTACGTCGGATTCTCGCTACGCTCTTTCGTACAACCGTACCGTTAACAAATACGTGTCGTGACTGACGATGTGCGTGTTCAACTCAAAGTAAACCCCCTGTACCAATGTCAACAATAACATAACGAGCGACGATAATAGAGAAACGTGGAATCAATTGGAACCCGATTTTTTACCGAACGAATTCGTATTGTCCGGGCATCGGTAAATCTACGGAAACGTTAGCTAGCTTGTGCACTTACCCTTCTCCTCGGTTTCTTCAGTTGGACGAGCTGTTTCTCACTCTCTCTCTCTCTCACACTCTCTTTCTCGACCGGCACACGCTCCAACTCTGTCTTTCTTATGATGCTTCTCTTCCTCCGGTACTCTCTCGCTCTCTTTCTTGTTTTCTCTTTCCCTCTCCGTTCTCCTAGTAGTCGACGAGTAGCAGCAGCAGCAGAAGCCGCGCAAGCAAGGGAGAAAGAAGCAGAAAGAGAGGGAGAGAGAGAGGGGCAGATGAGAGAAGGAAAGATAGAGAGGGAGAGCGAAATGAAAGCGAGAGTGATCCTCCGTACTCTCTCCCTCTTGCTGTACACTCCACCCGTCCGGTCGCCCTGTCGCCGTCGCTGCCGTTGCCGTTGCCGTTGCTGTTGTCGCTGTCGGTGTCGTTGCCGCAGCTACTGCCACTACTGTTGCCGTTCTTCTACCCTACCGACGTTACATTCCAAATTTTTCTTCGATCGGTCACCGTTACGTCGACGACAGGGACACCAAAGAGACGAACGTTCATCCACGATCACCGGTGGTAACGACACGAGGCGAAAGAACTTTGCTCGCGTGAACCGTTTGACACTGTTTTTAGTAACTCTCTTCCTGCTCCTCGTATCGTGTCCCTTCGATATCCTTTCACTACGAGCTTTCGCTCTTTTTCCCCACTGTTTCTCCGTTTCGTATCACCGTACGTATACATATACTCCGATCACTACGTCGTCCCTTTTTCTCGACAACACTAGCCCCCGAATCGGCCACGAAATGGACATACACGTGTGTACGAGAGCCGTTAGAAGCGTGTCCGTTTCGCTGTTCCGTTCATTCCTGTGCACCGGTCACGAACTGTCGCGCGTCGATGTGGAATCACCTAAAGCCGGCGTCGTATTTTTTAAATATTCCTGCTCCAAACTCACCTACTCTCACATCCACGCACTCGCACTTGCACACTTCGTATTCGTACTTCTCTCTCTCTTGCTTACGCCCTTTCTCTCTCCGACTTGCTCCGGCTTTCGTTTTCTCTCGCGCTCCCGTTGTGTTCATTCGTTCAAACTTGCTACTCGTCCACACTGTATCTCCTAGTAAGTAAACACAGAGACTACGCGTCGACGTACCGACCCGAGACGTCGACCGGCTCGTCGATCGCATCAAAACACTGTACCTTTGGTTCGGCGAACTTCCCCGTGGTG